AGCGCCGTTAGCGCCGTTAGCGGCGGGCGGTTTGTACCTTGCGCTGTCATGGCCGCTCATTCCCCAACGCGTGGGTTGCTGCTCGCTTTACTCCGCTAGCAGGTATCGTGACTGCCTGTTCTGGAAGGAGAAGTCATCCAGGCTGTCCCTCCTGCAGGTGTTGGATTCCTGCCCTGTCCGACGTGGAAGGTTTGTGTCAAATAAAGAAAGCAAAGCACAAGATCCGTATGAGAATTTTCAGTGGATTTCAACCTTTTGTGACATACATCAGTGTGAAAAAACAAATCCCTTTGGACGCAAGTGTCTGTAATAAATAGGGGAAAATTGGAGAAACTGGTGAGGTTTTTTTTGGTCCTCCCTTTTCCCCCTTTCTACCCAGTTCTGTTGATCAGGGTATTTAATGTTGGAACTGCTTGCATCTATGTTTTGACCTCCCTTGATCAGAAAAAACAAGACTAAACATTTGTCTTCTTGGTCTTTGATAAACATTCTCATTTACAGTATAATTCAGTCAGTACAGTACAAATATTGGAACTGAAGAAAATCTGAGTAACACAGATTCTTCTTTGGATGTAATAGGTTGTTAGAAACATCGGTCACAGGTCCATCCTTGTGTAGACCCCTTATTGTTCAGGTCTTCCGATGAGGAATGCAAATGTATTTTTTTCACTGTAAAATAAATTCACATTTTGCGAATAACAACCAAGAAGGAAGTCTTTTATACCGATGAATACTCAGCATTGCAGATTTGCAAAGCATCAGCTGATGTTCCAACATCCCTTACCCTATCCTCCTCCTTTCTCGGGAGGAATCTCCGCTGCGCTCCCCACCCTGGCTTTCAGTGATGCAGCCTTATTAAATTCATGCAGTGCACAGTGAAAGTCTATCCACATATATTTTACCTTTGCAAAAATTGTGATCTGCTAGTTGATGCTATGAGTATCGAGTACTTTTAGTAAATGCACGATAAAACAAAAAAACAGCCTTCCTTACAGTGTTCTCCTTCGTCCAAAATGTTACCTTATTTTTCATCTGCTTATTTGTGTTGAAAGACCCTTTTTTACTTCATATAAACATTCAAAAGGCAGGATGAACTACACTAGAGCAAACTGAATTTTATTAAAACGATTTCCTGGCTGCATTATGGATTCGTACTGATAAAATGATCCGTTGGGGCACTTGTCGGGGCAAAAGGCCAGGTTAGGCAGAACCACAGTGGCTCTGCCCTGCAGAGTTGGACCTGGAGGGCTCCTGTAAAGAAACCTGTCTGCATGGCGAGACAAGAGCCCCGCTGCATCTCAACAGATAGCTCTAGACAAAGCCCAGAACGCTAAGCAATGCACATATTAGAACAATTTAAGATGCTGAGTTTATTACTCTTTCACAAGAGTAATAGACACATATATGTGTATATTTGCACATATGTATTTGGCAACTCTTAGTGTAATTAATGTCCTTTTAATAGAATACTTTTCATTCACACAAATCAGGCGGGATGTGGTGCTAGCTCTCTGGTTAGATTATTGCCTTTTACATTTGGGTTTACTGCAGTCAGTGGTTGTTTTCCTGCTCCTTATTCTTCATTTCCTCAATGCTGAGAGCTACTATCACCATTTTTAATTTAAGTGCTGCTACCAGTATTTGATATTTTCATTTATTTGTTTTCACTAATTATTTAGTTGCTTATAAACCTCATTTCTGTACTTGTATACTATCCTGAGATGAATTCTTAAAACACTTGAAAGACTGCCTAAAGCAGAGCAAGTATAATGGTGCAGTGACGTTCAAGCACAAATTACACATTCTGTTGCTAAGCCAAATTTTTATATCCCATTGAGAATCTGCCCTAGGCATACAGTCTAAGAATAGCAAAGGCCATGTATGATTAGATTCAGGGACTGTTCCTGTGTGGATAAATTCATAAATATTCATTTGTATACTATAAAATATATAATCACAGTAATTTATTAAATATGTAAGTTAGCTCAATATGCATTTTTCAGTTGGACTTCATAAACGTATTACTAGGCAAGGGAAAAAGAAGCATTTGGAAGCATTTGTAATTTAAACTCAGTCTATTTATCAGATGACAATACTAAAAAAATAGATGGGAAACAGCGTGGCCTCGAATGGGAGTCTGGCATCTGCAACGATCTGCAGACTTGCCCGTTGGCTTTGCGCGTTCTGCCTTCTGCATGCACTGAGCCGAGGTGCCAAAGTCCTTCCCGCGCAGGGCCTGATGCGGCACCGCAAAGCACGTGCATACAGCTGCTCAAACCGCCAGTGACTCCGAAGAGGCTCTTTTACGGACC